TTATGAAATGGAACAAGCTTTGTCGCGCCGCTTTGACAACCTCTACGGGGAGAGGCCCAAAAAAGACATTTTGGCCGAGTCGCATATCAGTGTCAACCCACTGTTCTGTTTACGCAGCCCAGATAGAAGACGTGGATACGAGTACCAGGGCGGAAGATACCCAAGATGTTCCTCGATAAGCAGGAGCAGGCTCTCGTCCATCACCTTCATGTACACCAAAATATGAAGCATCTCCAATCGCAGCCTGACTGGAGAAGGCCTATGGAATTCACGTCACCTCCAAACAGCTGCGAAACTTCTTGTATGGAGTCACCCATGGACAGCTACCTGGGGACCAGTACTCTTGATCTGGAAGACCTTCAACATCGAGCAGCTCTGACTACGGTCCAGGATATCATCTTCACCGCAGTCGCCAAGGCGCGGGTTGATGGTATGGACCGGAAGTTCCTGGAATGAGAAGACCGATATATCCTGCCTTCATGTCATCGCCTGTACCATCTCAAAACTTCGTACTGCTACAGGATTGGGTGCCAGCACATGGAAGGGCGTTGGAAAAACTCTCGCCTACTTGGAATGGAAGGGCGTTGAGTACCTGAAGAAGACGGAATATCAAGTGTGTCACCTGACCTGAAACCCCTCAATTACCAGGTTTGGGAGGAGCTCAACAGGGCTACAGTGGCGGAGAAATCAACGATCTCGCTACCGAATCACGGTCGCGTGGCAGAATCTCTCGATGGCGCTCGTCCAGAAGGCTGTGGCGGAGTTTCTTGATAGTGTACAATGTGTTATTGGCTTTGATGGTGGAAACGTGCAATCAGAATTTAAAAAATTGCAAGTTATATCACCTCGAAAGTCGAGGGAAGAAAAGTGGATTCTTTTCGCCCTCCCCCTGTACATTCCTGTGAATGGTAAATGACGACGTGGTAGGAGTTCCACTGTGTACAGCTGCATTAGTTTTACAGGATGTGACAATTTCTAAGAAAAGAGCTTTGTGCAATCTTTGCTGCATATTATTTTCGGTTGCACCACTCAAGGATATACAGAGGTCGAGGAACTATACAAAGATGCCCCTTGCAAGGCGACCCGCTTATTTTTTACTTGTAATCGATGGTAAAAACATAATGGTACATCTATTTCTGAGCCGTAATGACAGCATAATGTCCACAATATTCTGAGCCGTAATGACAGATTACAAAGGTTCATTAGCAGTGTCCAAAATTTTTTTGTGAAAAGCTCTGTAAATGAAGCGGAATCTTCACCTGCTTCTCCTGCTCCATTTTGTTTTCTTTTTCAGCCTCCCATGCCCTGAACTAGTTTCTTCCATTCTTCCATGGCCCGCTTCCTGTCTGAGTATTCCTGTGCTTTGTAGGCCTTAAAAAATCTGAAATCCTGAGGTTCCACGAATTAGGTTGTCGAAACCAGACCTCATCAATTTCGCGAAGTTTGTCAACCTTGTCGCTCAGTGCATCCTTGAGTTGTTGGGCGGAGTTCCTCACGTAGTCTGAGATTTGGTTCTTCAGCTGAGCTTTTTTGTCCCTGAAATTCAAAAACCCATATGAACATATGCTAAATAAGCTAGCAGATTGGGTAATCAAATGTAATATTTGAAATACTACTTCGTCTTACTAACTTGGCCTCTGCTATGTCGCTTTTAATTTCCTCTTCCAGAGCTCGATCCACGTTCAAAATTGACTAGAAAATCATCGATATTTTTGCACATTTGTAAGGAACTGTGGATTCAGGTCAACTACTGATAAGGACTGAACTCAAACCTCGATTATCGATGTGGCATCGTCAGCTTTTGCAAACGTAGCTCCTAACAGAAGACTGAAGAAAAACAGAGACGCTATAGTGCGCATCTAAAAACATGTGCCCTTGATGTATGATAACGCATGACGCTTGTTAGTGTTTTGACACAAGGTACGGTAATAAAAGATAAGAGGAAACAAGTGAAATGACTCCAGCCACTGACAGTAGGCAACTACTATAGAAGAGTCTTACCTGCTAACGACCAATAGTGTTGCAAAAACGCACTGTGCCAAAAGCCGCTACGATTTACACTATGGTTTGGGAGGCCAGCTTACATTTTGAATAACAAAGCAAATCATCATTTCTCCCGCTTCCCCCCCCCCCTCCCCCTCCTCCCCGAGGAGGAAGGTCGTCGTATTTGGGCTTGCCGATGGGAACACTTATGTCAGAAAAATGCCTATTCGTGATGATGTCTCTTGTCAGACACCACCGTAGAAACTCTTGCCCAAGTAGTGTCGCACAAGGTGCAGGCTCTGCCTGCGCAAGCCGTGTTCTGCTCTCTGAGACACTTAGTTACTATTCCAGCTGTACATATAGCACTAAAGTGTCGATCACATATAGCACTAAAGTGTCGATCACCGCTAACCACCCCTCCCCCCGTGAGTTCCTGCATTCACGGTCTTTCTACCCGATAGATCGCTTACTGAGGTACAATGGTCAAGTTGAACTCAGGTCGCATGTTCACTACGAAATGCCACACATTTTGCGCTGTATGCTACCATCTCGTCTGAATGGCGTAGTGCCGCTGATGCTACTCAAAATCTTACGTTTTGCTTACGATGCTTAAAATGATTATTGTTGGATTGTTGGCCACGTCGACAACATGCTGAGCCCCCACCTTCCCACCTGCTTCTTTGTGGAAGCAACCAAACGCCCACCGAGAAGACGCTGCTCACACATGTGCAACCGAGCTTAGCGTGTCGTGAAAGCGTCCTTGATGTTCACATTGCACAAAGAGGTATTCGTCTCCCCTTATTCCTCCTATCCCATTCCCGTGAACCCGCTGACTTCCTGTGGCTCCGAAAAACCGAAAAATTCTGGGGAACGACCGACCCCTCATATTTCCTCCACCGGTACGACCTCCATCCACGTGGTACCTGCCATCCTCCCTCCTTTCTCCAAACGTTTTCGTAAGAAGCGAATACGATCTCCACTTTTACTGGGTATCTCCCAACGTTGGATAGCATGCATGGAAAAAGAAGAATAAGCTATCAAAAAATCTTCATGCCGAATACGACCTCTTCCCACAAGGTATTCAACTTGAATACCTGCTACGATGTGCCCTACCCACAAAGTGTCCTGTATTTCGCTTCTCTTCGTCGTATTTCACCAGGGAAGTCCGCCAACTTACTATGGAACTTTGAATGGAGATCCTGGGTAGATCGATAGAGTCTAAGGTTATTTACAAATATAGATAGCAAAACTGCAACCTGCATTTCACAAGCAACTTATGAGCAGGTAAAGTTTGTAATGGTGCAGTAGGGTGGAGGCTTGGTGGTGAGCTGTGAAGCATAAGCGAGGAATCGCATACGTCGAATCGAGTCGTGGTGGTTCAGTGGTAAGGTTCGACGTTCGACGACTCGATTCCACTTATGCGAATCCTTGCTTATGCTTCACAGCTCACCAACAAGCCTGCCACCCTAATGCACCATTAGAAACTTTACTTGCTCACAAGTTGCTTGCGAAATGCAGTTGCAGTTTTGCTATCCATATTTGTAAATAACCTTATAGACTCTATCGTCTACCCAGGTCTCCATTCAGAGTTTTCAGTTCAACTTGGCGGACTTCCCTGGTCAGAGGTGGAGGTGTCTGTGAAAGGTGTTTCAGGCAAGGAACAGGTATTTTCGAAGCGTTTTCACACAAATATTCCGTATCGTACAGCATGCAAGGACATAACAGTCTAATTAGTAAGACGTGGAGAACGTTTAAACTACGTTCTAAGGAATCTGAACCACATCTGCGAGAAATGATATGCTCAATACAAACAATCTACATCATACCCTTTTGAAAAGCTAGATACCAGCACAATATGTGGACATTTCACCCAAGCGTTAACGAAGTGCTTCTCGGATCTATGAGCTGTTTTCTGAAGGATATCATCAAGCGATGATCCCACGCCATCCAACATCTCCGGTCATGGTCTGTTCTGATGTCACCATAATGATTGGAGCAGAAGACACAGAATGACAAGAAAGATTAGTGCCAGAAGTAGCTGTACACTATCATCTACGTAATACGCAAAAATATGCACTCTACTTCCGTTCGAGACAGGGAACGTCCTGCCGCTGGGGAAAGCTTCCGGAAAATACGACCCCCCCCAATTTCGTCCTGTGCTACGACCCTCTCTCCTTCCGCATCCCACTACCACTTTCCTAGATTTTCTCAACTTCCTACCATTTATTTCCAGTTTTTCCGCAGTTTCCCGAAATTCTAGTTTTTCCCCAAAATTTTGCTGTCGAGCGGAGCGGGGTAAAGCACAGTAAAGCGGAAGAATTCGGAAAAAAAACGATTTTGCAAGGCGATACTTTCCTCTCAGAGACAGATACTACCCCTCTATCCCAACGACACAAATACAACCCGTCCTACTGGAAAAGTGAAATGGAAGAAAATCAACTATCAAAAAATTTCTTCTCAGATCAGTTACGATCCCCCCCTCTCCGTCCAGCAACC